AGAACGGCTGTAATGTGTTACAATGAAGCAGCCTAAAAGAGTCCTGAACTGTCTTATCATGATAATCTCTCAAATCAGCATAAATACGTGTGTGCGTTTCGAATCAATGTTTCAGCGTTCATGCAGTGCTTTTATGGAGAGCATAATCCGTAGAATCTCTTGAAAGAGAATGCGATTAGCATGCGATACAGTGAATAATAATATTATTCCATCTCTTTCACGGATTCGCATAAAATATCGGACTTTTTAAAAATATTTCGACTACGGTATCTTCTTGATTATTGAACTGAATAATCGAAACAATGAAAAGTTTCCGATTTTGTGTTAAAGTACGAGGGAAAACAACCAAGAATTTTCCTCCATTACCTAAAGTTAATAAACTCAATTGTGCATGCAGTTACTATCTAAATTAAAAGTATTCATAAAAATTAAAACAAATCTTTCTGTATATATGTATGTATATATATATATATAGAGAGAGAGAGATAATGGTTAACCTTTGATTAATCTGCATAAGTTAACCCGAGCTATAGCTAGAGGTTTTCAGCGCCCGGGGATAATTGACGATTTTGCGGCCCTTTCTGTGTGCCAAGAATGAAAAAAAATTCATTCTAAAACTTCGTAACGTCAATTTGGCGCCCCCTGGATGCTGCGTCGGGAGACAGGTACCCCACTTGTCCTACTCTAGCTATGCCACTGTGGGAAACTAAACGTTAGAATCCATAATCTTAACAAAAGAAATTAAATATTTATTGCACTGGCTCAGATTAGATCTAAAGAAAGAGCTGGCTGATTATGGAAGAAGACTCTGTAATGGTAACTGACTCAGATTTATTTTACATATAGGAGAAAGTTCTCGAGAATACCCATCTAGCTCCGATCAGTCACGAGGAATCCGACCAGAATGCGTATCTTCTCAGAGAGGGACAGCTACTTAAATAGTATTACTACTTTAATCTACATAAATGATAATCAAATTCATACAATCATCTAACAAAATTTCGACTTTTTCAAGTTAATTGCAACAAGAATTTCGGCTGTAATATGAAATCCAATTTAGAATAGTACCTAATCTTCAAAACCAAAGCACTAGAATTCGATACAAATGCAGCAAATTTAAAAAGAAATTACAAATTTTTAAAAAGCGATATTTTTAATAAATCGGAATAAATCACATAAAATTACATAATTCCACAATTTATAATTTATTCACTGTTTAATAATTCCATAGTCGGGAAACTTCTAAAAACCGTTATGAAGCGTTAAAGTGCTGTCAAAAGTTAAACCAGCATGCTTCAGAAGTGACAATTCCGTCATTTAAGTAGGTGCACTTGAATTCCTGTTGCAAGGGAGTGCTTTGAAGAATAAATTAGGATAAATTTCAATCTATTGCCAAAATTTTAGATGATACATTATTCGTTTCTTATGTAAAAGATATGTTTAAATCATAAACATGTAGTTTTCCAAAAAGTTCATAAAAATACTATGAAATATGCATCAACCAAAGTTCAGCTTGAGCAAATAAAATTGTGTTAATTTGAGAAATTTTCAAAATTATCTGCACGAGTCATACACATAAAAAGTGTTTTTCATTTTAAGATAACGTAATAGAAAACTGAGTCTTCTGCTTTTCTAAAAGCCACTAGGTAAAAACTCTTAGTATTTGCATATCCAGATGATCAGTTTTTACACACCAGTTTGTTAAACCCATCTGAAAGCCTTTATAGAGGATAAGTGTTGTGAATAAATGCTCTGAATAAAATATTAATTAAGAATTGAAATTCAGGAAAGGACCAAAGAATATAAATAAGGAGATCTCATATACAGCAAAATTAATGTAACTGTAATAAATTATAAATCAAGGGCATGAAATTAGTAATTCTCGTACGGTCAATTTTAAAATCCATAATAAACTTTTTATAGGAGACATCCATTGAGAATAAAGCTTTAGAGTAGAAGATATAGGACAGAACTAGAATTCAAGTCAGTGTACTAAGATAACCTCATAAAATTAAATTAATATAAGCATGATCTAAAGAAGCAAGTTTAAAACTGATCATTTCTTTTTCCAAGTTTTCTGAACAAATTTGATCTCGCAATGCTGCATAAAAACGTAATTTTTAGGTAAAGAAATTTTATATATGAATACAATATAAATCAAATTTCGATATAAAGCTTTTATATACAGCGAATTACGCATGAGGAACATTTCATATCAGTTTTTTTTTTTTTTTTTTTTTTTTTTTCTCCGGAGGTTTCTTTCCAAGCAATAGCATAAATACAAAGAAAAGTTTCCGATTTACGAATCGATAAAATGAAAAAGGCATCAATGCACAGCCTGAAATTTACAATTTAATTTTAGTAAATGTCTTTATCATTTTATTTTAGTAAATGTCAAAAATATCAGTACTGTGTTCAGTTGATTGTGTCTTATTTATTTTTGAAAAGATTTGCCTCTTTTTGAAAAAAATTGCCTGTTTGAAAAGATTTGCCTACGTGTGATTAAAATGTTTAAAATACGATTCTCTCATTCAAACTGTTTTATTACAAAAGAATGCGAAGGTTAAAATACTTAATCATTATTTCATACTAGCTTTTCAATGCTGAATTTTTTATATTTTCAGAGTAATTGTCCGTTGCGAAATTTATGTCCATACTGTATTGCAGATAAGCAATAATTGTCATTTTATAAATATGTAATGCGTTTAGCAACGGATAGGGGTTAAAAGAAATTTTAAAATGTTCTAATTTATTAGTATCAGATGTATTATTAATGTTTTTTATGAATTTGACACTCTCGTGATATAAAAATGTCAAAAAATTATGCATCGTCCATTAAAGTTCAAAAACATATGAAATTATCCGTGCAATTCAAATCAATAATGAAAAAATCAATGAAATTAACCGTGCAATTCAAATCAATCAATGAAAAAATCAATGAAATTAATCGTGCAATTCAAATGCATTTTATACGGAAATAATGCGTTTATAATGACCAGAGACGATATTAACGACAAACACTTTCTATCAAATTCTGCTAACAGTCATTTCGTTGGCTGTGTGTAAATAAACCTTCATAAAAAGAACAGATAAGAATTAAACAGCAGAGTTTGTCTCGGCATAGAAAAAGAATATTATAAAGCATTAATGCCTCTGAGTGAGAAATTCATTAAGCAGAAGTTGATAATTGAAACAATGTGTAAATATTCTCACAAGAACCAAAAATAAATGCACGCATAGAAAGAAATGTAACACGGTAGTCAAGCTTGTCCTATTTGCCGCCATGCAATGAGAGTAATAAAGGTCTACTCCCAGCTGACCAGCATGTCAATTAAGCGGCCGTCACAAAACGGCTTTTTCCAGAGGGCTGTATTGCACGTTATTCTTTCAATTCAAGTCAAAGTTTCTCAGTAAAAGCAGGTTACAAAATCAAAGTACGAGTTCGCGTGCTTTATATGTGTGGAGAGCGTTGCTATGTGACTGTAACGTGTAGCTTTAGCGTGGACTTCCGCTATTGTGATGCGCATCCAGAGAGCCATATAATTAGGCTCCGCCGATCTTATCGCTTCCTCGAAACCCCCTCCAGAGCTTTTAAACTAGTATTTTGGAAACCACAGGCTTTCAATAGAAATTGCTGTTATCTGCGCAATCGCCGTTTTAAAAGTAAATGAGCTTCGATTGTTGAAGAAACAGCTTCTTAATGACAGGTTTCCATTCCAAATCTTATGGAAAAAGAATTAGCAGACCAATATCAATTAAATCGCACTTAGAAGTGAACATTCACTACGAAGAAAATACTCATTAGAAATGCTTATATATGTAGTTTATGGGAATAATTTATTCTGCAATTAAATTTTATTTAAAAGATGAACCAAAAGTCGTAAGTTGAAAAAAAAAAAAGTATCCAAAAGTTGAAAAGAAATTTTATCCAAAAAACGGTTGTTTGGAAAGTTGACAAAAAAAAAAAAAAAAAAAAAAAAAAAGTAAAATAAATTTATATGGTAATAAATTTTTAGCGTTTGAAACGACAAATTTTGCAATCCTGTTATGAAACTCATGGTCAGCCCGTATTATCTGCACATCTGCTACGGCGCTAACGGTGCGTAACTGACACAAAATGTATTTCTGTTTCACAACGATGAACACGTGATAAACAGATAAGAAATCCGCGATCCTTCTTTTAAATTCCTTTGCAAGTATATGTAAATTTGAGGATTTTGAACAATATTCTATGAAGGATGTGCGAGAATATAACAAGGAAAAAGTAAATTATAAAGAAAAATAGCTAGTGATTAATATCAGATAACTGAAAATTTTTAATTCATCACTAAGCAAAATTACATAACTTTAATTAATGAACTAAGTAAAATTACAAAACGTATCTTGTTTTTGTCTTTTCAATATATTTCATGAAAGGATGGTACCCAGAGCCTCAAGGGGGTTGGACATCTAAAAACGTATCTTACTTATACGCATTGAAACCATAGAAGAGCTTTAAATCGTTTAGTTTTCATGTACATGTAAAAACTGGTAAATAAATTTTGTAAGTATACAAATTCCATTAAGAAATGTTATTAATTTGTCAGTATCTAATTAAGCTATAAGATATCACTTCTTGCTATTATACCGATCATACGAGAATTTATGATTTGAAACTTTTATAGTCAAATCCATTTTAATCGCTTAATGTATTAAACGATTCATTTCAGGTTTATAAAATATAAGAAGAATACACAAAACTACGAAGCTTATGTTCAAGGAACCATAAGAAGTCTTTTTTCAATGCTAAGAAACGGAAGCCTGTGAGGTTCTTTTATGGTCTACACATGAATGACAATTTCAATATTTTACATTATTTGTATTAAAATATTCTCAAATAAGTCCTGTTAAATTTTACGTATTACTAGAGATATTAATTAGAAAATATTTCTAACCTTGACATCTCTGATTGTGAGCAACACTGGGAAACATTGGGTAAAATGTATGAATAAAAGACTTACCTTTAGACACAGTAGATCCGGTGTTTAGCAATTTAGTCCCTACTAGAGGCATATTCGTCTTTTTGCCAATATCGCCGGTAACAACGGCGTTTATCGGCACTATGGAACCGTCAGTATTCGGGGCAGAAGGAATCAGGCCCATGCCGGGAGGCCTGGCCGGTCCCGGCGGCGAGAAGGCAACGTGGATCGCCGGCGGCAGGTTCTTAGGTGAAACTCTGTGAGGGATGGGACCATGATTTTGTTTATCGAGCCGCGGGACGACCCTAAAAGGGGTCAGCTTACCAGGTGATGGAGTATCATCCCTTACTTTTTCTGGACATGACAAGTTCAGAGGTTGTTCAATTACCGTCTTATTGGTCTCGGAGACGTCCTCACTCGTGGATACCATCGAAGGACTGTAACTACTACAACTGCTGCTATTACTGCTGCTGTTGTGGAAGTGCTGGTAATGGGCATGGTGCTGGTAGTGGTGAACACCATTAATTGTTCCTTGTGCCGAAGTTATCGGTAAGGGAGGCGTAGAAGATTGCAGGATGACTGGACCGCTCACCTGGGTTGGTGGAAGAGGTGAGTTAGTTTCTCGAATTCCCAGAATGTCTATAATGAAATGAGGAGTTGGTTGTTTGGGTGGATTAGCATAAACGTGAGGGTGCCACGTCCTCAGTGCAGTAACTTTTGGAACTGAATAATGAGACGAATTTTGCACATGTCCTGTTTCGTGATGCATGATTTGGATGACACTCGTGACAGAGTTACAAAGACTCCACCATCTTCTTTAGTAGAAAAGGTGCTTTAAAACGTACGCGAATTTATGCAAATTTGAATTGAGATTCAAAGTTTAACTTCTTCATAGGAAAATTCAAAACATACTAAGTATTAGATTTTAAATTCAGTTAACATCAGAAGATACAAAGCTCTTCTATTAGCGTAAGTAGAATGGAAACAATGCTGCATTCTGCAGCCAAAAGAAAAAAAAAAAAACAAAAACAAAAAAAAACTGAGTTAACTTCATGAAGTTCACTGAAACAAGTGGTCACATTATTTTCAGGTGCATAATTTCATAAACATATTTTTGTAAAACGTGATGTAGAATAATGTTCTTCGTTGAGGACGTACTTAATTATACCACTTTAACAAGATGGGTTAAGCAAATTTCCAAACTTTTAAAATTACTTGAAACTATTCATTGTTTTTCTTTTTCCTGAGGAATTTGAATTAGTATGGGACTTTGAAAATCATACAGAATAATTCTATTTCACTTTCAAAATCTCAACAGTTTCTCCAAATTTCTAAAAAATTTTAATTGAAAACTAAACAGTAATTATTCTTGATAAAACTAATTTATATTAATTTATGACTCAATTTTAAAAACTCTGGTCAATATAAAGTTGTCCGAAGAGAAGTTTAAAACAACTCATATAAACAATGGACATTTCAAAAATGAATATTTGCTGAGCGCCGAAACATGATTGAAACGATAAGTGAGCCGTCAGACACCGTTGCATCCAAAGCATTTCACGTCTTATCACACCGGTTGCAATCTGAACCACTCGCCACAAGATCATCTAAACGACTTGAGCGCGCTGGATCAGGGTTGCCAGCCGACGAATCACAGCTCTAATCGCCAACGATTACTTGGAAACCACGCCAACTTCAGCTACTCCTCTGGGGTTGCTGCGCATCGATTTTTCGCCCGACAAATTGAATTGAGTTTCGAGACAGAAAGCTCAACTTTTACATTAAGCACATGGAAGGGGAACAGTTGACGAATGTCTCATGCATTATCTACGACACTTTAACTTCGACTGAAGCCTCGCAGGTGAAGTTTCCGGTCATTCTATAATAGCTGACTGCCTTTACGTAAAGGTAGAAATTCCCGCGTCAATTTCGGCTCGATCATTTCTATACGCGGACGCGCGCGCAAATTATGGTCGAGCGATATTCAGTTTCCGCTGTAAACACTTCACCGCTCAGTTAATAAATTCAATATATAGCTTTGATTGCTGCAATAATTAGATTATTCCTTAATTATCGGCTTGCCGATAATTATTTTTTTTTCATTATCATGCTCTAATCGGAGACCGAACAATTGATAAAAAAAAAAGTACAATAAAGCGCTAGTCTTCTGGTCTTCAGACATTCAGGACTCTAGTTATCCAGACACTTGTTATTGCTTAGAACAAGTAAAATATGCTTCGTATTAATTCTTATGGATTCTTAAAATTTTCGTTGATTTACATAATACTAAATATATAAATCACTAACGGTAAAAAAGGTTAACTGCTTAGGGCATGCGTAAATAGGAATTAAAAATTCCTTCTCTTAATTGAAATACAAATTTACTGTAAGTTTATCAAATAAAAAATAACTTCATTTTTAATTTTTTTGGAAAAAGTATTTTTATATTTTGCTTTAGGGAAATATTTTTCTTTCCTTAACTTCCGTTTTTTTTTTTTTTCTCTAACTGTAAAAACTTTGCTAAAAATACTGTAAACGAGAAAATAAATTTCTTACTTAGATTACAGTAAAAACAATAGGTTACTTGTACATGGTTTGGTTTATTTGACTACTTCAAAGCAACCAAGGGCTATCTGCCTGATGCTAGGATGCCTTAACGGAACACTTTCTAAAGGAAACTGATAAGTATTCTCGTTACACACGAGGAAAACGACAGAAATGTCCATACAGCCAGCTCGTTCACATGGAATCTATCGCAGATCGAACTACCAGCATTCAACGACTTTGCCGCTTGTCAAGTGGTGGGCCATTTGTATATGGTAAAGCTCATGACTACTGTCTACTTAAGGGCCGATTTAATAAAGGATTTTCGAAGGGAAACGAATTCTTTTCGCACATGGTAAGTATCACAAAATCCAATCATACGACTAGCCCGTTCGCCTGGGTTCGAGCCCTGGATGAACTATCTGTACTTGATAATCTTCAGCTGTTCTGCCACTGTGAGGCTTACAGTAATGCGATACATACAGAAAGAGTTATGCGGAGTTTTCGAATATTTAGGTAAGTAATCCAAAGCACAGGTGTAAAAATGCATGCACTTTTTTACATTCATTATTTTATTTCAATGTCAAAAACAAAGCAAATTGTTTTGCAAAGTTCTTCTTCTTACTTGAATGGACAGCAATTAGAATTATTTTATTGCTTAGTTCCCCCCCCCCACTGAAAAAAATAATTAATCACAGCCTTGGCTCATTTAGTTAATTCACTTTGTTTTATTCTTCAACAAAACTACGAGGCCCACCAGCGTCCGAGCGGTAAAGTCGCTGAACACTGGTAGTTCGGTCCGAGGTTTGAATCCCGCGAACGGGCTGGCTGCATGGGTGTTTTCGTGGTTTTCCCCATGTGTAACGTGTATACGAGCCAGTTTCCCTTAGAAAGTCCTCCACGAAGGCATCCCTCCCCTTAGGCAGATAGCCCTAGTGTGCTTTGCCATAATAAAATACATACACCAACAAAACTACGAAAACAAATCAAGGTTTCTTTCTAGGAGTGAGAAACAAGATAATAAAAGTATGGAAAAAATTAGTTAAAATGAAGATATATATTTATATTATTGTGTCTTATATACATATATATTATATATGTAGAATAAAGTGTAAGCAATCTCAAAACATATTAGAAAAAATGTAACAAAAACATCATATTTAAAAAAAACAATAAGAACTACAAGCAGCGGTAAATGGAATAATTAGCCTAATTCGAACATCATCATGACTTTTCAAGGGAAATGCATAGTGATATTCGAACTCTGCTAAATTGGTAATTGCTTTTGTATTACAGTTGGATCTTTACTTTGTCTTTATACGTTTTTGCAAAGGAACGAAGTATCACTTTAACTCGTAGGCTATAGCTTGAAGAATTACTTTTTAATTTTAATTATGTATATATATATAAACTGCATGCACCGAACACCCAAATACCTAATTTTACTTTGCTTTCTAGCACAGATAATCATTAATTTATGATTCTAAATATGATTTCGTTCTAGTGTATATTTAAATAGTTATTTTGCATAGTAGGAAGTTTGCTCTTTCAGTTGTAAAATAATTTAACGAAATACTATTAGCCCTCCTACCTCTTTGCTTTATGCCTTGCTTTAAAAGTGGTAGAGAAGTTGGCTTGATAATTCAAAAATGCTGATAATGTATTTTGAAGAAATTGTCAAATAAAAAGAAAAAAGAATATATTATACTAACGTATAACATTAAATTCATCTTTAACTCTTCGCCCCCTAGGGCTTAATTTTTGAAACATACAACTTCATAGATGTTTACATAGATATTTTACAACACTCATATTTTACCAAGAGTTTAAAAACTTGGATAAAGAAAGCTAGAATAATTTGCCATGGAGCTTAAGTATTAAACTGTGAGTAATATGTTTTATAAAAAATTCTGCATTATTGTTCCGCTAAAAAAAAACAAGAGGACATATTCACAATGTATTTGATTAGGTCCTGTAGTAATTTACTAATTTCAGAATTCGTAAATATGCGAATATTTTTTTTACTCTTTCCTTGCGTAAATTTCTAATTTGTGAGCGCGTATCCGTTCATGTTTCCTTTCATTTTTTTCTTTTTTTCCCTCTTTTAAAAAAAAAAAAAAAAGAAAAGAAAAGAAAATAGTAGTGCATTTGCTGTTGAAATTTCTACTTGTTTTACTATCAATATCATGTTTTTGTTAACTGATATATCATATTCTTTCGTGTATAAGCCAATTTGTTTTCGCGAAAAGCTAATGAAAATCAGGGATGCAGCTTGTACGCGAATGATTAGAAATAAATATATGCAAACATGTAGCATACATGCGTACATACAAACCCATTATTACTGGCTGAACGTTATATAGAACTGTAAAAGTGTATTGTGTTTGCACGTCTTGGTGACATGCTGTGATACCGGTGCCAGAGATAGTGATACTGGTAGTGCAGGCAACTGCTGTGATCGTTCTGACAGTGGTGCTAAACACAGAAAACATGTTGCTTTTTGTGGATAATAAACTTGTTTCAGCGTGTGTTAAATATTTAAATAAATTTAGCTATTAAATAAATTAATAAATTTAGCTGCATTCACACCTCCAAAACGGGGGAATATTATAGTAGATTGTTACACAGGCTATCCACGGCTTATCCTTGAGAATTTACTTATTTATTTACTCCTTAAATTAAACATAAAAATTAAGGATGCGGCTTATACGTGAAAGAAGGAGCTGTTGCATATTTCATAAAGCAAGCAGTATTACGAATTTTAAACACGAATGCGTTGGATTTCTTATGTAGTATTTAATAAATTTCCCAGCCGACTTTACTGGGACTTTGTTTTTTCAGCTAGAGAAGCTAATCACGAAAAAATACCCCAAAAAAATAACATATTGTTGTTCTCATTTCAAATCACACCTGTTTAATCACTGCGATTTGAAAAATTTATCTTTTTTCTAAAGTTACGAAAAAATAAATATTTTTGAAAAGATCCATAGATTAAAAACTTAAAATTAAAAAAAAAAAAAGAAGAAGAAGAAGAAGAAGAAAAAAAGTTGCCAGTTCACTCGACAGAGCATTATTCTATCAGTAATTCGAAAAAAAATTTTTAAAGTTCGAAACGTGGTTAAACTAAAGTCTTTGCTGAAATTTCTTAACACGATACGCTTTCACCAAATTATGCTGGAAAATCTCCTAAAAAGAGGAAAATTAAATAATATTTAAAAATTTAGATGCAAATAGCAAATTTACCTTTATAAAAGAAACCTGGAAATAATATGCGAGATAGGTACTACCATGTAAATATGTGTTCAAGTATATTATTCCTTTTATTTCAGTTTCGCTTACAGCGGAAAAAAAATTACCGAAAAGAAAATATTTATTTCTAATGAATGTTTAATGCTATCTGATGGGAAAGTTAATTAAACTGTTAAATCATCTTTAAGAATTGAATAATTACTTTCATATAAGTTGGTATGATTTTTTCGCATAAAATGATGACAATGCATTGAATTTCTCGTTCTAAAAATGGGCTCATGGATTTTCTCAATAACCCGCAAATTCAGTAGTATATTAAATACTTCAGAGATGTGTTTAAAATATGCCTGACTATTCTTACAAACATTTAAAAATTTTATCCGATTTCTAAGAGACATGTTTTCACACAAACGTTAATGAGAAATGTTACATATATTCCTTACGAATTAAACTTTAGACAAAAATCATTGGCATGAAATATATTTTCATAGGAATGTTTAATATATGTAACCATTCTTTAGCTTTATCTATTGGGAAAGTACTCAACTGAAACAAGATCTCAGAGTCTCTGATATGTCAATAGGTTTCTCGGAGTGAATAATATATTCATTTCACTCTCACTGGGGCAACCAGTGACACATTCTTGTTTTTTTTTTTTTTTCCTGCAGTTGCCCCTTCAAAAGTTTTTTATTTACTCTCTGCTATAGCAGTAATAATAATAGAATTGGCTTTCTTAAATTACGTATCAAAATAATCCTTTGTGTATTTCTTGTTAATCGAATTCTAATTGACATTT